TTAAATGAATACACAAACACTGTGTGTGTGTGTGTGTGTGTGTGTGTGTGTGTGTGTGTGTGTGTGTGTGTGTGTGTGTGTGTGTGTGTGTGTGTGTGTTTGTGAAGCACCCGCTGGTACCCAAATCCAATTGTTACATAATACCAGCTCACACTTCTGGAAGTAATGTTGTTCACGTGTAAGTTCATTGGAAGTTCTGGATGTGAAGCCTTTAGCTCACGGTGGTCCAGTGGGTAGTGAGTGTGGGGGGAGTCCGGGGACGCTGGTGCATGTCACCTCCATCACACTCATTGTCTCAATATTTTCTGATAGATATAATTACTATTTAGGTTATGGTAATTATATTTGACAAATGTATGCGAAGATTAACTTAATACAGTGACTCTGGAGGTGGAGCCTCTAGGGAGGAGTCCGTGTTGCCTTCAACCTCGCAATCGCATTGGCGTTTGTCTTTCCATTCCACACTTTCGGCGCCGTGGAGAGGGGGGGAGAACCTGCTGCATGGGTAACAGCTTCTCCCCCATATCAACCTACCCTGGCTTTGCGCCCTGGAGAGGCCACTCCAGACCGACAACCAGAGCGCAACTCCATAGTCTCCTGAGACTGATGGATGCCTACTATTTAATACAGTTCCTAACACGGCTGTGTGTTTAAAGTAACTTAAGCCCTTAAAAATACGCACAAATAAAGCTCAGTCTGCATTTTCTACCGTAATTTTCACTACGCTATGCAGGGGTGAAGTATTTACAACTGTAACGTAATTTAATTATCTGTTAACAATTATAAGAATGATTTTCAGCGTTTAAATAAAACAAGGAATTTTTTATTAATTAAATTGATCACACTTCACTAGCTTCAGTTGCTATCAAGAGCAAACAAGTGTATAATTTTTGTTCAGTGTTTTTTTTTTTAGTCTTGCCGCTAGCGAAACAATTATAGACATGTTACCGTACTAACTTAAATCAAGACCAATTCTTTAAAAGGTCAGATGAAACACAAACAAGGAGCAACGGGTTCAAGCTCAACAAGCCAGTGTCAGAGTAGTTAGTAAATGGAATGCACTAGGAAGTGATGTGGTGGAAGCAGACTCCATACACAGTTTCAAATGTAGCTATGATAGAGCTTGAGAAGCTCAGGAATCTGTACACCAGTAGATTGACGGTTGAGAGGCGGGACCAAAGAGCCAAAGCTCATCCCCCGCAAGCACAACTAGGTAAGTACAATGTAGGGCAGAAAACAGGAGATGGTTTTTCACCCATTGGGTTATAAACCCATGGAACCTCCTACCCACCGAAGCCGTAAAATGGCAAAACATTGTTGCAATTCAAAATCCAGCTGGATAAAATCATCAGGAACAGTGTGGGAACTTTTGACAAGCCGCCGGCTTCTTATCCTCTTTGAGGCCACTAGAGGTAAATTGCTCATGCTTTTAAATTTTATCGTCATTTAATATTCTTTGCATCCCGGGCGTACAAAACATGATGTATTTACAGAAGAACATAAGAACATAAGAACAAAGGTAACTGCAGAAGGCCTATTGGCCCATACGAGGCAGCTCCTGACAGTATAGATGCTGTAAACAGTGTATTATATGATGTATAATCCATAAACTTTACACGTTCAGCTACACTTTCCTTAACCTTGCTGAAAGTAATCCAATAGCCTAGCGTCACTCCCTGCCTATCCCAATTTAATTGGACTGTCGAGAGAGAGGAAGTCCATACACAGTACATGTTCCATTAACCAGGAGAGAAGGTGTTAACTCAGTCACCCATCTAGTTACTTGTCAGCCCAACCGTTGCTTAACACTATTGCATGAAAATGATCGAAAAAATGTACGATTACCGACTCCACACGTTGGAGTTCAATGCCACATTTATATTCATAATTCCAAGAAATGTACCGAATTTTGTGATTTCATATTTGCGAGAAGCATCATGGGAATTGTGGCAAATTATTCTCTCGTCATAATAGAGAAAAATAATAAGTAAAAGTGGATAATTTTAACTGTTACAAGTTCCAAACTCAGACAATTGTGGGGAAGGTTTGTGATGGCCTGGTGACGGCAGCCCACATTCTCAGTCACTGATATTCATTCAGATATATTTGAAATTACACTCAGTTTGTGATATTAATTGTTTTACCGTATCACTATTTAGCGTACGCCACATGAACAGCCTAACAGGGAAATGACACTGGTTACGGTACTATAATGAACACGGGGTCGGTGACGTATCGTGTAATGATTTATTCCAAGCTAACATAGTTCATATGAACATCCTGGACCAGCTATATATTCACCCAAGTACAGAATGGGTGTAGAGATAACCAATACACCCATTCAGAACGTCAACAAGTCAACCAGCAATGCAAGACGAAATTTAAGTGTATATTTATTTTATATTTTATATTATTTTATATTATTTTTATATTATTTTATATTATTTTATATTTTTATATTATTTTTATATTATTTTATATTCTATTTAAGTGTTTTGTATAGGAGAAAAAATGTAAGGTAGAGGACAAATAGGAGAAAGCACAAAGCCAGTGATTTCTAGCTACTGGAAGGAATAAATCCAGGCAGGCAGTGAAGGAACTGTTTGCTTTCGTGTGGGGTTTAAAGCCTATCAACGTCGACGGGAGAGTTATTAATCCACAGTTGCCGACTAATCGCAAGTATATACTTAATCCTGAAAATATTTCTATATAGTTGTAATGATTTGGCGCTTTCTCTTGATAGTTCCCTTCCCCCTGAACATATTTCTGGACTAAAGTAAACTGTGTATTTATACCGAGACAAGGAAATAAACTCAGTGTATATATATTGCCATTGAAGGAAGGCGGACTCTGTAAGAAGCCAAACCTCTCACTCAATGGACTAATCCAAGCAGAATAAGAGACGAGAGAGAATTTGCATCAACCTGACTACAGATATAATTCAGTACTATCCCAATTATCAAATTAACAATTTGCTTACAATATACAATAATTATAATTACAATATTCCAACATTCAGAAAAAAATATAGCAAGTTTTGAACTTGTGTTATTTCCTGCTTACTTCAAAGGTCAGATTTGTGCTTATATTATTTCTCGAGTTATATTCCTGCTGACATTTATGTTATTCCAAGTGATATTTTTCTGATTTTAATCTTTGTTTTTTTTTGTGTGTTCCTGATGAATTTTGATCTCTTGCAATTTCGAATGATATTGTCAATTTTTTCTGTGATATAAAGAGTCATAAGGTTCCTGATAATTATCTTATTATAGTTATCTTAATTAACTAATAATAACTAGCGTTATTGTTATCTTCCTGGTGCTTGTTTTCATATCATGTTAATCCTAAAGTGTTGTCTTTCATACACAGATTTATTATCGTGATATTTCGAATGGTGTTATCTTATTTCAGTTTTGGAATTATGTTTTTGTAGTCATCTTAATTACGTCAGTTTTGGAGTTAGTGTTACCCTCCTGAAAGCAGTCAATCTTGCTTTAAAATCAATTAATTAATGAAAGCCTTGAGGGAGACTTAACAAGAGTGTTAAGTAACACGCCCGCACTTAAGCGTGACCCCGCCCTAGGCGTTATTAAGAAAGAAATGCACCAATGCAAGAACTTGCTATTCATAATTGTTACTATAGTTAGTGGTACAATTTTTGTCACGAATAAAGTAATCAACCCATCCTCCGAATTGACAGTACGTTTTAATAGTAAGTGTAATAAGTACATTTCCTGACTGCCATACATAGTACATAGTTGCACTTATGGGGCTGTTATATTTACCTCGCTATTTATTCTCCTCGTTTTCTGTTAAGGGGGAATAAATGCGTTTCATGTAAATTGTTCAATGTCAACCAATCTTTTTTGACTAGTTTTTTTTAACAATTTTTTTTTGGATAAAACTAATTATTAAATATTTTGATTATATGTTATTGTGATAGTTGAGAGTCATATACATGATTTCAGTTGACACTTGTGTTTGATGTTAATTTTTGACCATTTTGGATTTTTTTTTGACACATAATTCAATATTTTTTTTCTCCCTTCCTATTTATGCTACGATGCTGAGACTTGGACCAGATGAAACTCTTTTCATATACAACTCGTCAAAAAAAGTTTTAAATCGAATCAGTTTTCATTTATTACATATTTTGTCATTATGCCACCTTAAGACACTCTGAATTTTAGGATGAAGTGTTAAAGTTCAATTCGCTATACACAAGTTTTAAAATGTCACCCGAGGACCACATAAAGAGTATTGTGCAAGGAGCGTATGGTATGTTTTCCAACTTTAGAATCACTTCTAAGTACTGTACATGGAAGGTGAATTATTAGGGAAATTGTTTACGACCTTTGTGAGACCAAAGTTGGAATATGCACCGGGTGTATGGTGCAAGAAGCACGTCAGTAAACTGCAATATGTGCAAAGACGTGCAACTAAATGGCTCCCAGAACTGAAAAAAGCAAGACCTACGAGGAGAGGGTTAGAGGCATTAAATATATACCAAAACTAGAAGATAGAAGAAAAATAGGTAATATTATCAATACATACAAAATAGTAACAGAAATCGACAAAATTGACAAAGAAGAATTTTTGAAAGCTGCAACTTGAAGAATAAGAGGACATAGATTCAGAATAAGGAAACAAATTTAACAAAAAAACATTCGACCATTCACTTTTGTATACAGTGAGAGACAGAAGGAACAAGTTAAGTGAGAAGGTGGTGGAGGCCAAAACCATTACTAGTTTCAAAGCATCATATGATAAAGAGTACTGGGAAGACGGGACACCACGAGCATAGCTCTCACCCTGTAACTTCACTTAGATACTGTAATTAATTACCAGACATTGTACGTGCAAATATACATAATAATGTACACATTGGACATGTGCATCACATACTAACATACTCCAGAAAGTAGTATATGATATGATAATTACAATTCTGTGGTGTGTGTTCATTTTCACAATGATCATGTTTTTTCTTGCAGATGACGACATGATCATTGAGATGCCAGATGGCTACCGCACGCCGGGTCCCCCACTGGACCTGGAGCCTGGCCAGACAGCCATGAGCCCACACCTCGGACCTCCCCACCCTGGACCCCCTCACCACCCTTTCATCCACGGTAAGTACTCTTACTAAATTATTCACTTGTAAACAAATATTTTAAAGTTTTCCTCAGTATGAAAATCTTCAAAGCTGCATACGTATTTCCATTTTTATTTAATTTAATTAATTGAAAGGTGCACAGTTTCTGTATACAAATAGAACCAATACTGTGGTACATAGTTCCCGTGGGATTAGGTGAATGACTAAGTAAGAAATGGAATGGAGAAGGAAATGTGTGTCATAACAAGGCAGATATATTGTTATTAACAAGAATTATTGTGAAGAGGGTCAAGCAGACTGAAATGTGATACTGTATTTGCATCTCCAGAATTTCTGTCAAGGGTGACTAAATGAAATACAAAATTGGGTTTTATATACTGTACTAGTAAAGAGAGCAGAGGAAAGTGGCTGATGCAAGAAAGTCAAAGTTAGAAATGAATGCAGCAAGACGGTAAAGGAGCAACTGCGCCAGCCCAGTTGGATATGCATGGATATGAAGTAATGAACATGGAAAAATAATGTCATGCAAAGATGTTGTATGAGTCGGCAAATCTCACACTTGAGGGAGACGAGGACTGTATACAAAGATGTAATTTATCTGAACTTTCTTGAAGGCCACCGTCTCTAGTGGACTTGACAAGGACAAGAGGGCTCCCCATTATGCTTGATAATTTTTCATCTGAATTTTTTTTCATTGTGGTGAAGAGAGCATATTTAAATGACTTTGAGGGTAACTGAATGAGTAAAGCCAAAAGTGTGCAGATATTGGCAGGTGTGTGAGGGAGCAGAGATTGTGTGCAGTTGACTCTCACTTTGCACAAGTTTGGATCTAATGAATTGAAAAAGGTGCGATTTTGTTTTAAACATAAAAAAACCTAACTGGGTGAGTTCTCCAATAGGAGAGTTGTTGCACTGGATTTACACAACAAATACAGTATGTTGCTTTGGTGTGCAATAGCTAGATACATGTACCATGTTCATGCCTCGTGCCTCCTCACAGTTTTCATAGTGTTTCATGCACATCTGTATTACATGCGTCATGGCATTTCTTAGGCATTCTGCGCTTCATTACGTTCTGTATTTGTGGCTTAAAAGTGGCACGAATATCAAGTAAAAATGTTAAGGAAGGTACTTCACTGAGAGAATAGAAAAAAAATCCATTTTGACCTTTAAAGATCTCTTAAGAGATTGTATTTCTAAGACTGTATTCTTATTTTCCCATAAAAGGGAAAGTTTGTGTTACACAAGGTATTTCGGAAACACTTCCCTTGTGCAAATTGAGAGCCAAATATACAGTATCCAAGAAGTGGAAGGAGGAAATATTAATATTTTTTGACAGTAACTCACAAGTGAATTACAAAGTGAAATACAAAGTTAATGATACCTCATTTAATGAAGTGGTGGAGATACTGCCATGGATAATTATCATGAGGTGTGCTGGTGCTGGCTCTTTGTGATGCTGGAGTGTGGTGGTGCTGGCTCTTTGTGATGCTGGAGTGTGATGGTGCTGGCTCTTTGTGATGCTGGAGTGTGGTGGTGCTGGCTCTTTGTGATGCTGGAGTGTGATGGTGCTGGCTCTTTGTGATGCTGGAGTGTGGTGGTGCTGGCTCTTTGTGATGCTGGAGTGTGGTGGTGCTGGCTCTTTGTGATGCTGGAGTGTGATGGTGCTGGCTCTTTGTGATGCTGGAGTGTGGTGGTGCTGGCTCTTTGTGATGCTGGAGTGTGATGGTGCTGGCTCTTTGTGATGATGGAGTGTGGTGGTGCTGGCTCTTTGTGATGCTGGAGTGTGATGGTGCTGGCTCTTTGTGATGCTGGAGTGTGGTGGTGCTGGCTCTTTGTGATGCTGGAGTGTGGTGGTGCTGGCTCTTTGTGATGCTGGAGTGTGGTGGTGCTGGAGTGTGATGGTCCTGGCTCTTTGTGATGCTGGAGTGTGGTGGTGCTGGCTCTTTGTGATGCTGGAGTGTGGTGGTGCTGGCTCTTTGTGATGCTGGAGTGTGGTGGTGCTGGCTCTTTGTGGTGCTGGAGTGTGGTGGTGCTGGCTCTTTGTGATGCTGGAGTGTGGTGGTGCTGGCTCTTTGTGATGCTGGAGTGTGGTGGTGCTGGAGTGTGATGGTCCTGGCTCTTTGTGATGCTGGAGTGTGATGGTCCTGGCTCTTTGTGATGCTGGAGTGTGGTGGTGATGGTCCTGGCTCTTTGTGATGCTGGAGTGTGATGGTCCTGGCTCTTTGTGATGCTGGAGTGTGGTGGTGCTGGCTCTTTGTGATGCTGGAGTGTGGTGGTGGTGGTCCTGGCTCTTTGTGATGCTGGAGTGTGATGGTCCTGGCTCTTTGTGATGCTGGAGTGTGGTGGTGCTGGCTCTTTGTGATGCTGGAGTGTGGTGGTGCTGGCTCTTTGTGATGCTGGAGTGTGGTGGTGCTGGCTCTTTGTGATGCTGGAGTGTGGTGGTGCTGGCTCTTTGTGATGCTGGAGTGTGGTGGTGCTGGCTCTTTGTGGTGCTGGCTCTTTGTGATGCTGGAGTGTGGTGGTGCTGGCTCTTTGTGATGCTGGAGTGTGGTGGTGCTGGCTCTTTGTGATGCTAGAGTGTGGTGGTGCTGGTTCTCTGTGATGCTGGAGTGGTAGTGGTGCTGGCTCTTTGTGATGCTGGTTCTCTGTGATGCTGGAGTTGTGGTGGTGCTGGCTCTTTGTGATGCTGGAGTTTGGTGGTGCTGGAGTGTGATGGTCCTGGCTCTTTGTGATGCTAGAGTGTGGTGGTGCTGGTTCTCTGTGATGCTGGAGTTGTGGTGGTGCTGGCTCTCTATGATGCTGGAGTGTGGTGGTTCTGTTCATCTGTGAAACTGGAGTGTCATAATGGTAGTTCTTTATGATGCAGGAATGAAGCAGTGCTGGTTCCCCAAGATGCTGTCAAGTGCTGGAAATATTTTGTTGTGAACGGACAGATGTGTGTATGTATTTCAATACCTTTAACCCTCTCTTCCTGTATTACTTTCCTATATTAATGCAAATGCCTCCCCACCCCCATGAAAAAGGGAAACAGGTAATGTTGATGATGATAGTGAAGAAACTACAGCTTCAAATCAGGAACACAAATAATCTAAGAACATTGCAGTTATATGAATTTTAGTATGAAAAATGTTTCCATAACATCTTGTTTCAAAAGTTAATAAAAGCATACTTTATATTGCACAAAATATAGATCTATCACCTTAAGAAGTACAGTACAGTAATGCAGTTTACTCTCCTTACTTTTGCAGGAGCTGGTACTCCCCCATACATGACAGGTGGCGGTGGGCACTCCCCAAGCGCGCCTGTACCACCTCACCCCATGGCTGCCCCATTCCCATATTCAGAGCCTCTACCACCCTACCAGACACCCATGAGTAAGTTCACCATCACAGTCCTTTCTCAAAGACTTGGCAATTACTGAAATCGTTAACTTTGACCGACACGATGCACAGGTAGGAAAGATTTATATGGAAACAATTTTAAAAGTGTAATACATACTAGAATTTGTTGTGTAATGTGGCTTAAGTTGCTTAAATAACTCCAATGCTGATTATAATTGTCAATGATTGATCACTTTTGCAGAAAATCGACAGCATTAATCTTGAAATACATTTAGTGATAGGATAGATATAACTTTGCTGTGTATTTCAACATCACCATCATTACCCCCATTTCCAACTATCATGGGATAGAGGAGAACTTTCCCAGACAGTATGGAAAATTTATACCAGTAAAGAGGGTTGATGATATTCAAGATTACCTAACTTTGTACAACACTGTTACTCTTATCAGTGGCACCCAGCCCTGCACAACATCTACCCAGGCAGTGGCACCCAGTTCTGCATACCATCTACCCTGGCAGTGGCACCCAGCCCTGCACATGTACCCTGGCAGTGGCACCTAGCCCTGCACATCTACCCTGGCAGTGGCACCCAGCCCTGCATACCATCTACCCTGGCAGTGGCACCCAGCCCTGCACATCTACCCCTGGCAGAGGCACCCAGCAATATACATCTACCCTGGCAGTGGCATCCAGCCCTGCACATCTACCCCTGGCAGTGGCACCCAGCCCTGCACAACATCTACCCCTGGCAGTGGCACCCAGCCCTGCACAACATCTACCCTGGCAGTGGCACCCAGCCCTGCACAACATCTACCCTGGCAGTGGCACCCAGCCCTGCACAACATCTACCCCTGGCAGTGGCACCCAGCCCTGCACAACATCTACCCCTGGCAGTGGCACCCAGCCCTGCACAACATCTACCCCTGGCAGTGGCACCCAGCCCTGCACAACATCTACCCCTGGCAGTGGCACCCAGCCCTGCACAACATCTACCCTGGCAGTGGCACCCAGCCCTGCATACCATCTACCCTGGCAGTGGCACCCAGCCCTGCATACCATCTACCCTGGCAGTGGCACCCAGCCCTGCACAACATCTACCCTGGCAGTGGCACCCAGTTCTGCATACCATCTACCCTGGCAGTGGCACCCAGCCCTGCACAACATCTACCCTGGCAGTGGCACCCAGCCCTGCACAACATCTATCCTGGCAGTGGCACCCAGCTCTGCACAACATCTACCATGGCAGTGGCACCCAGCCCTGCACAACATCTACCCTGGCAGTGGCACCCAGCCCTGCAAACCATCTACCCTGGCAGTGGCACCCAGCCCTGCACAACATCTACCCTGGCAGTGGCACCCAGCCCTGCATTCCATCTACCCTGGCAGTGGCACCCAGCCCTGCACAACATCTACCCTGGCAGTGGCACCCAGCCATGCACATCATCTACCCTGGCAGTGGCACCCAGCCCTGCACAACATCTACCCTGGCAGTGGCACCCAGCCCTGCACAACATCTATCCTGGCAGTGGCACCCAGCCCTGCACAACATCTACCCTGGAAGTGGCACCCAGCCCTGCACAACATCTATCCTGGCAGTGGCACCCAGCCCTGCACAACATCTACCCTGGAAGTGGCACCCAGCCCTGCACAACATCTATCCTGGCAGTGGCACCCAGCCCTGCACAACATCTATCCTGGCAGTGGCACCCAGCCCTGCACAACATCTATCCTGGCAGTGGCACCCAGCCCTGCACAACATCTACCCTGGAAGTGGCACCCAGCCCTGCAAAAATCTACCCCTGGCAGTGGCAACCAGCCCAGCAAAATACCTATTCTTGCCAGTGGCTAAAAGGGTTCTGCAGTCTTTAAATAACCTATTAATTAACCATTAATCACAATTAAACATTAATCACAATTAAACATTAATCACAAAATCCAAAGTAGCTTGTAATATTAAATGGATTGTGCTTTTTTGACAATGATAATAATGTTGGAATAAAAGTTGTGTGGATCTCATCCCATGTTGGAGTTGGAAAGCGTGACTGTAGATCGATTGGCTAATGAAGCTTGCAGGAAAGAACACACAGACTATGACTTTGGACCATCTAATGCAATTATTAAAAACATACAAATTAAGGAAATTACTTCCGATTTGGAAGAACTATGAAATACCCAGAAATCTGAAAACTGTAGTATTAAAAGCTATTACAACTTTTGTATTAGTAGGTATTTGTATAGTAAGTACAAAACCAGACCAGACAATGTGATGTATTCATTGCGCAAATTTGCCTTGGCTCTCGGCACATCAGGCAAGTTAGTGAGGCTGAGCCACTACCGAAATATTCAGCCTGCAAACTCTGTAACAAATCATTAAGTCATTCACTTGAACACTATATTATTGAGTGTGAAACTGTAAAGGATTTTATTCCTCCTGGCAAGTTGTACAATCAACTATGTAATTATTTCTTTGAATCTGATATACTGTATATTGAAAGACATCATAACAATTTAATTTAAATTTGCTTGTCCATTCTGAAGAATGAGGAACAAGAATGTTATTTATAATTATTCTTTTTTAAGCTACATATCTCATGAATCTGTCCCTGCATTGTGATAAGTGAACAATAGAAAGTTTCATTTACAACCTCAAACATTTATAATATCTGATATACAGTAGTAGCATGTAGTCTCATGAAACATGCATGTGCTTCAGCCTTCAATTTAAGCCTGTTGTCTTGTGTATGATCCTCTGTCATGTACGGCAATGAATATGGGCAGCACCACATTGTAACGACCTTGCTGAATCACTCATATTAGGCAAAATTGTATAGTTCGTCAATAAAGATATGTATTAATAACTTGACAGTGTATGCTGATGAGAAACAGCGGTGGTTCATTTTAATGCAAAAAAAGTAGAAAGTTGCTAAATTATTCAATTTACGTGAAACGCGTAAGTGCTTGAACTATGCATTTGCTTTTTAGTCAGTAAATATATGTGATATATAACTGACTATTTTCCCATACAATTTATTTGTATTTCAGCTACTGTATGCATTTTCCTCCTTGGTGTAATAAGTTAGCTGACTGCATGTTAAAGCTTTGTATCTTATCAGTTTTTAACAATGCAATTCCCCATATATTCATTACATATTCTATTAAACTCTATTTTTTAAAACTTTTTGGAGTAAATTTTCATGTACTCCATCAAAAAAGTCATTCTTTATCATCGGTAGCAGCAGCAGCAGCGGCGGCGGCGGCGGCAGCAGCAGCAGCTGCAGCAGCTAGTGGCGGGGTCAGCGTGCTGGCAGGTGGTCCAGCCAGTGACCTCAGTTCGAATGGATCCAACCCAAGTTACCCAGAGTTTCCACCGTCCCCAGACTCCTGGCTCGGGGATATGCAGCAGGATCATCACCCACAATACTAACTCCTCAATAAGCCCATCCATTTTTCTCAAAACGAACATCATACATGCTTACCCTGGAACTTATGCTCATTACTAACCACCCAAAATGCTAAGTTTGACTAAAATTCAAAAGCAGTAGTTCTACTATTCATGTTTAGTTATATTTAATAAGTGATATACAGTACTTTAAAATGCCTCAAATCATCCAACAATCAGGTGGTTTCATGCCTTTTTGTTTCAGTTGTGGAGAGGCAGTAGCTCATGGTGGAACAACATTAGTACAGAATGGTTTTATCATGGTGTTACACACAATTTGTTTCTAGTGAAAATTCAACATTAAGAATTCCATTATTTTCATCTTGGATAATATTGATGTGTTCCTTTCCTAGACTTGTATAGTAATGTACCATATTGTTAAAAACAATGCTCTCAATGTGAGAAAAGTATAGTTTAATCTGACAGACAGTACTGAATTTCAATATAATGATGTGTAAAGTACAATATGTAATTAGTTCATAATATTAATATTCTGACCAAAGACATTTGTGTCCAGAGCAAATCATTGACTATACATACCTCAAAACATTCATAATATAGCACTCGCCAAGATGACAACTATGATGAAGGTGCTCCTCTGTACAAAAAAGGGCTCGTCTTTCCTCTACTATCTGTCACAATCGCTGGTAACATGCCACTGTGTAATATATTCAGATCCTTACCTTACTGCCTGGAATGGATACTCCTCAAATATTCAGGACATATTTATACCTTGTTTAACCTTTGTACCAAAGAAAACAAACCAAAGTTCTTACAGTACTAGTCATTTGTGTAAAAAAAACACATGTCCAAATAACTTTACTGCAGTGCTTAGCCACTACATACCATCAGAACAATGGCATCAAACTAATTATATTTCCAGTCTTTATGTAGATCATAAGTATGAGTACGCAATCAAAATATGGTAGTAAAATACCTTCACCTAGTCATACACATGTACAAAACTAGTCAAAATGGTTTATCGGTCAAGATTATTTCTGCTTATGATGTATGTTTTGGGATTAAGATACCTTTGCATGTTGGAAGTCTGTTGAAGATCAGTAATTAATGAAGTCAGCAATTTAAGCTTTCCTGTTATATGGTTAGAAATTATCTAAAAGGAATTATTGGTTGGCAAAAATGGAAGCTAATTCTTTACTCACAGTAGCTAAAATACTAAAATTGCAAGCATCAATATTACTATGAAAAAATTAATTTTACAGATCGTGCAAAGATATGATCATGAAGAAAGATTAAAAGATTTTAAAAAAATCTGTATTTACATGGGAATAACCAAAGTCTCTGAGAGATCATTAGCATTAGTAAGTATATGGGTGGTAAAACAGCCTCCAGGGTTTGCTGCTGAGTTTTACCTTGAAGTTCAAGTGGGTGAGCAGGCTGTCCTTAACCAGAATGTCTGAGCCTCTAGTGCGTGGGTTACCTGGTCGTCAGGTTAATCGAAGTCCTCCGCAAATAGTACCGAATAGACTGCCTATTATAAAAAAACAAGTGCTGTGGACAATTGTATCAGATGCTAAAATCTTGGTGCATGTCTAAATGCCAAACTTTAAGTGACACAATTGCATTGTGCAATTGCACTCGGAATACAAGCACTTGGGTTCCAATGAATGAAAACGGACATGGCTACTACTGGAACCAAGTCTTTTGCCAGAAGGCCATTGTCTTCAGTGAAAGTCTCTCCATAATCAGTGACCAGACCTGATGATGTACATATACTTAAAATGTGATGGTCACAAAGGACAATGGCAGGTGTTATGATGAAAGGATATTTTTTATGTAGCTAATTTGTGTTTGTCCTTTCATGGAAGAGTTTTAAATGTATATATCTATATGAACTGGATTCTCTCTTGAAGGGAAAGTAGAATACCTTTTGCCAATGTTGTGAATTAGAAAATATTTGTATATAAAGAAAAAATCTGCAATTTGTGTGGTATGAGAGTGATTAAGATTTTCTGTATTGGTACCTATATGATTTTGCAATATACCAAAGATACACCAAGTATGATATTTAAGCCTACTGTATAATTTTGATGTTAGGGTGACTTGTGTTGGAAGTCTTGAATTTCATTACTGTATAATGACCCGAGTGAAAATTTTTTTTTATACAGTTCTTACAAGTCTTAGTTTCCTTGCATGGAGAAAAATTAATACAATTATTTTTTACCCAAATGTAGTTTATTGTAAAGTTTGCAGTGGAAATGGCTAATGAATAATGATTTTGTGTTGACAGTGTACCTGATTAGAGAGAAGCTACAAATTGAATTATGTCATCTTAATCTCAAACCGTGAATATGAAGCATCTATGGTTAGATATCCAGTGATATAAAACTGAAGGGGATTCAGGTTCAAGAAACTGGTCTTTTCCATAGTGCTCTACTGTATATTGTAGCCTTTCGCATCTCTGACTTGTTTTATACTCTAGTACTGTACTATTCCCTATTATGTGCTTGTTCTTCTTCATTAGTTTTGTACATAACATTATTGGATGTGTGTGAAGCTGAATGGGAATACTCATGTCTGTTTCTTATTAATCATTGACAAAACATTAATTTGAAACAGACACATCAGGATGATTTCATCAGTCAATGTAGCATCTTATTTCAGTGTCATTTATACATAAGTTTTAATATCACTGGGAACTGTGTATCTGCTATGTAGACATGTACGTGTCCAATGTATGTAATGAAGACTTGATGTTCTTCTTGTATTTTCATCCCTGGCCAAGTTAACATGAGCTAGATGTTTAGTCTTGTATTTGGATAATTTATCAAGACGACTACTGTACATAAATTCATTTAAACAAGCAGGAAAGCTAATATTTCCCTTGTTATAAATGTAATATTTTCCTATGATCACCAAAGACAATTATTGCTGAGGTAAACTATTCTCAATTTTGTCAATTTATATGACCAACACATCAATAAGAAAGACACTAATATATGATAAGAAGTGGATAATTGTTTGCCGTTACTAAATTACACTGACCACCTTTATAAGTTTGTTCCCCTTTAAATATATGAGCATTTTCCTTCAAGTTTCATTTAGAAATAATCTACCTTGTGTAAACATGGCCTTTTGAATGGTACAATTTCAAAACTATTTTTGTTTGAAGGGGATCCAAGTGTGGCCACCTGGGGAAATGTTATAAATAAAATCTGAAATGTCTGATATCAAAACATTAACATATGTATATCATTTAATGCATCTTTTGATATATTGTCATTTTGATAAGCCTTCAAACTAGCTTTTTGTTACAATATCAGTAAGCTGTTACCAGTATGCCTGATAATAAGAAATACTTTATGTTGAATAAAAGATTTTGAAATGCAAGATAACTAATTATTAATTTTTTGATAGTGCACTTCAGAATTTTTGTGTGGATGCATTTTTTCTCGGTTTACCATCAAGTGATTCCTACCAACTCTGGTTACTTACTCTATCCTATGGACAGAGAACTGCTCATTATGCAGTCTTTTACTAGAGATCACTCACCTACACGCTTAACATTTCATGCAGCACAAAATCAGATATTCTTTCACTCAACGATAGCACTTATGATTTGTTTGTTGTGTTGTGAGAAAGCCAGGCTAGATAATGAAGTATTCAGAGTGTTAAGACAGAGGCAGCCACAGAAATCATATATAAATAGATATATATATATTATTTGTACCAATATTGATTTACTCTTTACTGACATTATGGATGTTTGCTGTATGTTCATCTTGACTCACTTGGCTGGCTGGAACTAAAACAAGAAAGCCTTCCAGCTAGAAACATAAGAAATGTATAATAAATGAATTTATGTAAAAATCCTTTTCACTATCCTTATTTCTGAACCACACATCATTTCACATGAACATTATTTCTGATGCTGATGTGGTGGAGGCAGACTCCATACATAGTTTCAAATGTAGATTTGATAGTGCCTAGTAGGCTCATGAATCTGTACACCAATTGATTGACAGCTGAGAGGCAGGACCAAAGAGTCAGAGCTCAATCCCTGCAAGCACAACTAGGTGAGTACACACATCTTCAGCGATATATAAATCCTTGATTACTGTATTTTCACCACAGAAAATAATCACCAGCATTTATCTGGAATACTCCTACTCAAACAAAACTCTGGAGACAAAATATACAATTCTAAATATAGGCAATAAACTAACATGAGTAAATATCACTCAATTAAAGATAGGAAATACTATGACCTTGAATACCCAGACTTCAACATAAGAGGAAGAGACCAATGTCGGAAATTTCGACACAGTATGCACTAACCCCTGACATACCAAGTTAAAATGGTTATGTCAGGTAGATATTAATATTACTACCATTACTATTTTGTAATGTTCAAAGAGAACGTAATCAGCAACATCCCAAAGAAACTAGGAAGTTGCCACTTATGCATAAGCCACTATTCATAAAACTTTCAATGTGTAGACTAAATACGTTAAATAGTACTTATTAAGAGTTACTGCACCTAAATAATTAGTAAATTAACGTCTCGCTCCCTACGTCGATAATGACGTAATTTGAACCAAGCAGGGGAAGCATCCCCAGCCGGGTAGAGATACAACGATTACGAGCTTATACACGCTTTACCTCTTAATTGCCAAATATAGTCACATTTCCCGAGTTCTTGCATAGGAAAGAAACATTTCCGCTCCACCAACGAACTCAACATACCAGGGAAGTGTTATTTCCGAGCAATTGTTGTATTTTATGTTATTGGCCATTATCATGATCTCTAACATTGCCTGGTTATGACACATGCGCTCTAACCAAAATGGGGGTGAGCCTAAGCATTAATGTAACCTCATCTTCTTGAATATACGCAGTGTAGTGGTAAAAGTGTATTACTTTTGAATTATTTGGCAGGTGCTGTATTATAAGAAGAGAGTATCGAGTCAACCTGTGCATCACGAGGCTACCTAAGTCACCATTAAGACTCCACTAACTGTATCATCTGTGACCTAAGGAAACCGATGCCCATTATCAGGCCTTTACGACTCAAGAGATAAGAATTTATATTTTCTACGTAGTAACTCCACTAACAAATTATTCATTTTTTGTAGTTTATGATTATCCACTATTGTGGTATAAATTACAAACGTACGTATAAACCCCCCAACGTTGCGGAAGGATAAACCCCAGCAGGAATGTATAATATAATATAATATAGTCCAGTTACCATATACAGACCCTATCAATTAAACAAATTTAAAGTAAATTCCTACTAGTATTTTAACTGTACTCAAACAATCTCTTGCTGGGCAAATTCCCCACAACCAATATAGATGGGAGGAAGATGAATATGACCATTCTGAAAGTTGTTTAGAGACAGTCAAATAACATAGAACATATACGAGATGGGAACAGGCAGACAGGAACAATGCAAGAGTATGGATGGGAATGGAAAAATGCACAAGACTGGACTCTCAAGTCATCATCAAGCAGAAGGCTAACACAAGGTGAAACGTGCTGCAAGGCAACGAAACTATAAGCACTAGGCCGAAGGGTTCAAAAACGAGTCCAAAAATGAGTTCACGCCCTAAGTCAAATCGCTCGTAGATGGGAAAGGGAACTCTGTCTAAAGCCTTTTTTAGGTCCAGATAGATGCAGTCAACCCAACCATCTCTTTCCTGTAAAATCTCTGTGGCTCGATTATAGAAACTGAGTAAATTCGTTACACAGGATCTTCCAGATCGAAAACCATACTGACGGTCTGATATTATTTTGTTTTTCTCCAGGTGTTCTACCCATTTAGTTTTAATTATTTTTTCCAATATTTTGACTGTTACACTCATCAACGATACAGGTCTATAATTGAGGGGGTCTTCCTTGCTGCCGCTTTTGTAAATTGGAACCATTTTAGCCTTTTTCCACACATCTGCTATGACTCCTGTACACAGGGATGCCTGAAAAATCAGTTGAAGTGGAATGCTGAGTTTGGGTGCACATTCTCTCAATACCCACGGTGAAACTCCATCTGGGCCAATTGCTTTGTTCTTACTTAACTCCTTGAGCATTTTTTCCACTTTGTCTCTAGACACCTCTATGTTGTTCTCTGGAATTCTTATTGTGTCTGGTTCCCTGAAGATTTCATTTTGAACAAACACACTTTGGAACTTTTTGTTTAACGTTTCACACATTTCCTTTTCATTTTCCGTAAATCTGTTTCCCATTTTCAACCTCTGAATATTATCCTTCACCTGTAATGTTGCTGTTTATAAATTTATTGAATAGGCCTGGTTCTGTTTTATACTTGTCAGCTATCCCTTTTTCAAAATTTCTTTCTGCCTCTCTCCTCACTGTCGCATAGTTGTTTCTCACATCTTTGTATCGCTGGAATGTTTGGGGGTTTGGCCTCTTCCTATATTGATTCTATTTTTGTGCTTTTGGTCTTTGGTCTCTGTCCCTCTTGCAATTTCTATTGAACCAATCCTGCTTTCTGGTCCTGCATCTCTGTTTTGGTATGAATGTTTGTGTGCCATCATTGTATATTTCCCAAAATTTGACATACATCTCATTTACATCCTTGCCTAGCAACAAGTCTGTCCAATTACACTCATTAAAAAATGTTCTAAGTTCCCCATAGTGTCCTCTCTTGAAATCTAGTTTAGCAACTGTTTCAATGTCCCCATTTTCTTCTAGATCATATCTCAAAGCATATTTAAATGTCCAACAGGACATGATCACTCTTTCCCAAGGGAGGAAGGTACTGGATGTTAAATATATCTTCTTCTTTCTTGGTGAATATTAAGATCCAGTACTGATTGAACATTCCCTTCCCTCATTCTTGTGGCCTGCTTGATGTGTTGATACATGAATGTCTCCAGAATGAGGTTCACAAATCTGCTTGTCCAAATGTCCTCTGCTTTTGCTTTGTAGGCCTCCCAGTCTATTGCTTTAAAGTTGAAGTTTCCCAGTACCAACAATTGTGATTTATCTTTATCTGCTTGCACTATATTCTCTCTCATGACCATTATGAGGCCCTCTCCTTTGTCATCCAGTTCTTCCTTTGTCCCTGTATTGCTTGCTGGTAGGCTGTAGGCATTTACAATTATCAGTTTATCATCCTGATTCCAGACCTGCAATGCCATTATGTCAACTTCTCGAGGGTTGTCAAGTATTAACTCTCTTACCTTCAGGTGTTCTTTCACCAGCACAGCCACTCCTTCCCCATTCCTAGTTTTCCTGTCATGTCTCCAAACTGAGTAGCCCCATGGGAATACGACCTCATTTAAAATATTTTCTTCAAGTTTTGTGTATGTCAATGCAACAATATCTAGGACCAGTAACTGAATTATATCTTTCTGCTCCAATATTTTTTATCTAACTCCATCTGTGTTGGTATATAAAATTTTCAGGAACATGTTCCCTTCCCCTTCATTCTTTACTCCCCCTTCCACTCATGATTTTATTGCTTTGTTTTTATGTACCATTTTACTAGCTTTCCAGTCCCTAACATTTTGTAGAAAAAAGAATTTCTTCTTCATTTCTAGTCCCATTAAGACATTTTGCTTCAATGAGGTTCATTTTCAGTTTTTCTCTGTCTTCCTTTGAGAGGTCTTGTCATATTGACCAAAGTTGCCATCCTCATCACTCTGCAATTTCCTGGCATTTCTAAGCACTTCCGTCATATGTTTCACTCAATTAAATGTCACCCTTAAGGGGCGGTTCTTGTCTTTCTCATATTTTCCAATCCTAAAATCACTGACATTTTTTCTTTGAATTGAGGCCTTCTCCTAATCCTACTATTTTCTCTATGATTTTCATCTCTTCGGCTGCTTTGTCCACCCTAGATTAAATTTCCATCTCTAAACACCCAAAAACTATTATGGACTTACTTTTATCTACAGTGTTTTGTACTAGTTTACTGTGGGTTATCAGTTCTTTCCTAATTGGTTGCCTAATTTCCACTTCTTGTTGGTCAATTCTGGTTTTGACTCCCAAACACACTTCCTTGATCATCTCTTTCTCTTTTATAACTTGTGCATACGAATCTTTTATTTCTTCTTTATACTTTTCTAGTTCTTTATTAACCTCCTCTATGTGAATTGTCAATGACGTTTCTCCTTGCATATCCTTGCCTACCTCCATGTTAGCCCTCAAGGTTCCTTGGAGTTGTTCACCATATGTGTCTATTTTCTTGTTCATTTCTTCAAATTCACCACTCTTCACTTTCTTTGCCTCAATATCTTTCACTAGTTCCTTCATGTGTGCCTCCTGTATACTTACCTTATCAGTCAAGCTGGTAATTTCCTTACCTCACTGGAAAATACTTCCTTTTAAATTACAAAGCTTGATTTGAGACCTTTATTTTCTTGTTCTAATTTAATTACCTTTTCTTCATAATTCTTTAGCATGTTCTCCATAATCACTAACCTGCCAAGAAAACCACCTTTCATTATATCTTGTGCTGAGAATCCTTCAAAACATACATTTGTTGGTGTGCTGTCCTCCCCTATGGTGACGGCCATCTTTGTTGTCGACATTCTGTTGTATTTGAAGAACTACCTTTCTAGCCCAGAATTTTCATTCACTTACACTTATTTCTTGACTCTTATTTTTTTCCAAATTCATTACACCTTCGTGTATTATGGGACACCACTAACAGCTCCCACCCTGCTCCCAACACTTGGAGAATCTGATATATCCTGGAGTCTGCAGCAGTGTGACAGTAGTGGATGTGGTACAGAAGAGGATGTGTTTAAGAATAAATCAGACATGTTCCTGCAAGAAGTTTCAGACCAACGGATTGTAGTGTATGTGTGGTCCTACGAATCGCTCCAAGCAACAGATTGTTG